CCATTCGTTTTAGGATTAGAACCACTGGATCATATGATAACGCTGTTTCACTTTTTGTGAAATTGTTGATCCATTTTCCAAAGTGGCTGCACCCATTTCTATCACCAACACCCGTGAAGGGCAGTTTCAGTTGCTCCACATCTTCACCAACTATTGTCATGGTCTAGCTGGTTTATTTTAGTCTAATGTGCGTGAAGTGGGCTTTCTCTAATGATGTCGAACACCTTTTCATGTGCTATTGAACAACTCGTGTATCTTCTTTGGAGTTATGTCTATTCAGGTCCTCTGCCTATTTTCTCATTGGCTGTCTTTCACAGGTTGAGTTGGAAGAGTTCAATATAAATCATGATTGCTAGGCCCTTGTGGCAGTTAGATTTTATGTCAACTTGAACCTGTATAAAACTCCAGGGGTCGAGTCCAACTTATCGATCCCATCCCAGCCTGGTGCCATCGCCTTTGAGGTGTGGTCTACATACAAGAAGACGCTGCGGAGTACTGGCCTCCCTTTCCCCTCTCTTGGCTCCTTCCCCCTCCGTGCTTGCTGGGACTTTGGGTCTACCTCCAAGGTGGGCCCTGTGGGCTGCTGACCTTGGGAGCAACCTCTGAGCTTTCTGCACCCTGCCATGTTTCCAGCAAACTTAGAACCACACAACTCTACACCCACCCGCCTGTGACCTCCTTGTGTGCTGTTTCACTCTTCATCGGCAGCCTGCAGGCTTTGTTTCTCTAAACAACGCAGCTTAACAGAACCCTTATCAGATAACCCATTTACAAAGATGAGGATAAATAAAAGTACAGCTACAGAATCATAAAAACTTTTAGTTAGAAAGACATGTGAGGCATTTCTAGACATATCCTCTATGTAGGTCTATAAACTTCTGAACACTGTGTTTCCATCGCTCTAGTATTCCTCCAATGAATTCCATGCTCTTCCACTTATACTACATGAAAAACAAAAGGGTCATTTTCTTCAAGACACCGAAATTATGCTTCTTTTCAATGTTTTTTGAGCTTGGGGAACAAAAAGAAATATGAAGAGGTAAGATCAGAGCTTGAGGATGTATGGAGTAAAGTTTCTCAACAAAATTCTTGTCAGGCAGCCTTTGGCTACTACGAAAATCAAGCAGGTGTATTATCATGACAGGAAAAAAAATCTTTGCTATCAATTTCCTGGCCTTTTTCTCATCCAAGCAGACTTCCATGTTCTGAAAACTTCTTTATAACCCCATGATCATCCTTTGTCCTTCAACAAAATCCATCAAGAACGCTCTTTGGGAATTCCAAAATGGTCGCCCTTGCTTTCCGAGCTGACCCTGCTGCCTGCACTATAACGAGTAGGTCCTTTTGGAAGTCACTGTTTTGATTGGATTGTTTTAATGGAACCTTGAAGGCACGGAGCAAGTGTTACCGAGGAAACTAGTCTGCAGCCACTCACTGATCACAGAGACATGCTTCAGTGTGGTTTGTTTTGGATAAACACAGGCCTGCATGAGTAGACAGTATAGTGGCAAGAATTTCTTTTCTTATTCTTGTATTCTATGCCATTATTTGGGTTGAATTTTAATTTTCTTGAAGGAGTCCTCTGAAGTATATTACAATTTTTAAAATTTTAATGAAGTCAAAATTATCTAATTTTCTTATTGTCATTTATATCTTTCATGTCATAGTTCAGAAACTACTGCCTAGTTCAAAGTCAGGAAGATTTATTAAAACGATAGTTTTAGCTTTTAGGTCTATGATACATTTTTTCCTTACTTTTATTGAGGGCTCTTTACATCTCTTATCACAATCCATACGTTCATGCAGTGTGTCAGGCACATTTGCACATATTTTCATTTCACATATATTCATCATTTTCCAAGCATTCACTTCCCACTTGAGCCCGATTATCAGCTCCCCATTTCTTCCCCTGCCTTCGTCCATCTGCCCTCCCTCACGAACCCTTGATAAGTTATAGATTATTATTTTCATATCTTACATCATCCTTTATTGCCTATCACCCACTTTTCTGTTATTCATCCCCCTGGGAGGAAGTTCTAGGTTGATCCTTGTGATCAATTCCCCCTTCCTCCCCCCACCCTCCCCTAATCCTCCTGATATCTCTACTCTCATTATTGACCCTGAGGAGTTTATCTATCCTGGATTCCCTGTGTTGCAGGCTCTTATCTGTAGCAGTGTGCATGCTCTGGTCTAGTCAGATTTGTAAGGTAGAATTGAGGTCATGATTTTCGGGGGAAAGGAAGCACCAAAGAACTAGAGGAAAGTTATGCGTTTCATCAGTGCTATACTGCACCCTGACTGGCTCATCTCTTCCCTGTGACCTCTCTGTGAGGGGGTGTCCAGTTGCCTACAGATGGGCATTGGGTCACCATTCCATGCACCACCGCCACCACCACCACCACCACCCATTCACCTTGGGAATGGTTTTGTTCTGGGTCTTAGATGCCTGATACCTGATCCCATCAACACCCCATGAACACACAGGCTGGTGTGCTTCCTCCACTATGATACATTTTTTAGTTAATATTGGTCCAAGAGAATCCTAGATAAAGGTAAATTGGACATTTTTCAGACAGTATCCCAGTATATAACGCTGAGGCAGGATTCAAAGCTAAATCAATGAGCGATAGACTTTACACAACACACTCACAATGTTATATTGCTGTTGGAATTTTTTGTCTTTTGTCAAAATAGATTTGAATTCATTGACTGTATGTTTCTTTGTTCTTTCAATGATCAGTATGTGGAAAAATCAGTGGGAAATGCACTGTTGCTCCAAACGGAATCATTAAATTTCTGCTTCACCTGAAGAAGAAAACTTTAAAATGCAAAGCCAAAGTCTATAGGCTATAAATCTTCAATGCAGCATGGAAAATTTTTATTGCCTTTATAATTAATGCATTGCAGTAGACAAATTATATCACCTAGCTTCAATATTCTGTATCTGTGTTCGCTGACTTTAATATATTTTTTCTAAAAATATCCTCCCTATACTATGTCACATTTGATAACAACTTTAAAATGAGATAGTTGTTTATATACTCCAACTACTTTGAATCAAAGGCAGGGGTTCTCAACCTGTGGGTAGCAACCCCTTTGGGGGTCAAATGACCCTTTCACAGGGGTCGCCTGATTCATCACAGTAGCAAAATTACAGTTATGAAGTAGCAATGAAAATAATTTTATGGTTGGGGGGTGGTGGTCACCACAACATGAGGAACTGTATGAAAGGGTCACGGCATTAGGAAGGTTGAAAACCACTGATCTAAGGAAACGTCACCAAAATTACATGTAAAGATATCTATTCCCATTATAGCCCCCTAAAGAAGGATTTGGGCAGAACTACGAGCCCACCTCAGGGAGCCTGAGGAAGGTGGGTACCAGTAGTTAGGTGAAGTGACATTATTAGCTGAAGACATGTGTCTAACCCAAGCAATCTCAATCCCGCCGCCATCGAGTCAATGACGGCTCGCGATCCCCACGTCTGTAATGTGTACAGGAGCAGGCTGCTTCACCTTTCCCCGCACAGTGGCTAGGGGCTTGGACCCACCAGCACCGCAGTTGGCAGCACAATAATTAATCCATCATCCTCCAGGGCTCCCTCCCAATAGTCTACCTGCCATATATCACTCACTTCCTTTAGCACTGCAATCATAAATGTTTAAAATGAATTAAAATTCATAAAGAACTATGTGTCTACCTCCGTATAAATGAATTATATTATATCAAAGAGGTTTCAGAGAAGTTTATTAAGGAGACATTTCAGCTCTACTTGCTCTGCCAGTGCCAGACTATTTTGTAAAAAAAAAAAAAGCAATTAATTTCATTTACGCAACAGTAATTAGGTATTTTCCACTCCAATTTCCTATTACCTCATTCAGTGCACAGTTTAACATAATTTTTTTTCAAAATAAGGACAAATATTGATTAAATGAAAAGCAATTTACCTAAATTTACTCTTTTCATTTTTGTTTTGTGCTTCGGTTAATGAAACTGTCTACCTAGGGTAACTAATAAAGTTTATACAATGGGTACTGTCCCACAGAATGTCCACGGAGCTGTTTTATGTTACTCTGCAGTTTCAGAATACGTGGCATTCGCGAGGGGCTGTTTTCTCTTTTCAGTTTGTAATGGGCAGCACTGTCTACCTCTATACTTCCAGCGAGTTCCAAATCTGAACCGATGTCACCTTTACCAGCATGAAGGGGTCATTTGAATTCAGAAAAGTTGGAAAATGTATGTTCTGTTTTAATTTAAAATGGCACAAATATTTTTCTACAGGCAGCCTGAACCACAAAGTCCGCTATAAGTAATTACTTGAGGGAATAACTGGAGAAAGGTGCTCAAAATCTTGTCCTGAACATGTTCCATATTTTGTCTCTTGGGGACTGAGAAGCCTACAAATCCTGTACCACTCTGATTTCTCAGAACAGCCCTGAAAGACCAGATCTATCACAAACCATATAAAGTCTTCCCAGGGTCTCCATTGTGCCAGGACACTGAGGGAATGCCAAAGAGGAGCTCATGAATAAATTCATCCTTCAGAGAATAATGTATTCAAAAACAGTTGAGTCCATTTTATTATAATCAAACTTGTCTAAGAGAAATACAAATAAAATATAAGAAGTATCCCAAACTTTCTAGATAGGAAGTAATGAACAACATATTGTATGCTGACCGAATAAATCCTTCTTGAGACCAAGCAGATGATGGACAGGAGAGCCCTTAAGGTAATGAAGCACATGAGTTCAGGTTACAATAGGGAAAGCATCAGGCTAAAAGTGGGAAAAGAATGCTATGATACAGGCTTTATTGTAAAGCCTGATTTATCCTATAAAGTGAAAGAATATAACCTTCATATTCTAGTCCAATTATTATAGAAAAAAATTACTTAGTAGAGAAGCAACTGGGATTTACATTTGTTAACTGAAAAAAAAATGAAAAGAGGCTACTCTACATGTAATCAAAAGAAAAATCACCACCGGGGTTCCTGGGATTACCTTTGCTTTGCGAAAGCGGTAGACCACCAGCATGCTAATGAAGTCCAACAGCATGCACAGAGCTTGAAAGGAGATGATTGCCAGCCTCAAGTACGTATCCTCTTGGACAAAGCACGGACTGTCATCAGCACAGTGGGGGCAGCCCTCCCTGCAGGGTAGGCAGACATGGGTTTCTTCAGATACATCTTTTGCATTTGCTCCAAAATGCTGATCCGAACCTCTTCCTGAAAATTACAAATAAAACCACAGTGTCATTGCGCTTCTGAGATGAACGTGATGGAGGACAGAGTGATAACACATATCATCGTCACCTCACCATTCCTTTGCCTATTTGTTGAGAACCATTTTGCCAACCCTCTATAACCTCAACTAAATTCCTTTTTACTCCCTGGATTTTTATAATTGTCATGCAGAGTAATTGAAGAAAATTAGCAATAATGGAAACAAAACTCCAGGAAACCGTTTTCTTGGTCGTTCATTTCACTAACTTCCGCTCACGAATGGATACCCCTTTGGCACAAGCCATCTTCCATGACCACGTGTCAGAGCGTTCACCAGGAAGAGAGACGAGTCGAGGGCTTTCCCTTACCAAGTAAACACACGCAACGTCGGCGCGTCTTGACCCAGATGGCACAGAATCCAAATTAAGGCTTCGACTGCGCCTTAATTCAGCAGAAATCGCATTTACTAAGTTCATTAGGTCTAAATGGAATAAAATGGTACTTAATCGACAGTTGCTCCCTGTGTGATTGCATAATGAGGGTGCCCCTTTGCCCAGAGCACAGCCCTTGTTCACAAGGCCATCTCGTGACTTCCCACGTTGCCTGCCCATGGGACACTGTTATACTATTAACTAACTGTTGCGCTCGATTCACCCTTTAATTTCAGAATCTTATGTCTCAATTATCAAAATTAACTTAACTGTGAAGCGCAATATAGTCACTTGAATCTTAAGTCTAGCATTGACAAATATCCAATTAATTACATATCCTAAAAAACAATTATTTCCAATTCTGAACTAAACATGATACCCATTAGTAAGTAAGTACCCACCCCATGAAGTACACAACACACACTTGATTAACTGAGTATTTGAGGAAAACGGTTGCTGTGATTAATAGCATCTTGATAAAACAAAATTTAGCAGAAAGTCTTTAGTTCTTTCAGTTGTTAAGGTTCACATATTTATAAAATATATCTCTGTGCATTCCTTCCTCAGTAAATACAATAGCAAAAATTCAGCTGAATATTTCTTTGATGATTCAAGATACATTACTGCTTAAGAATGCTGACTCTGCTGTTGAGTGAAAAGTGTGTGCCTATCGGAGCCAAACAGACATCCTTCCCATCCTTAAACATAGCAGCAGCAGCAGGCTACAGACTTGACCAATTTAAGCCTTAGTTTTCTTATCCGTGGAACGTGAATTGAGGTCTGAATTAAATGCAATGATTATCCAAATCACCATCTGACTGTCATACTGTGGTGATTTGCCTATCGCTGTGATACTGGAATCGAATCTATAGAAGCAGCATTTTAAAGACTATCAAGATCAATCGATAATGGTGAATAGATTTCAGTGGAGCTTCCCAAAAAAATCAGAAGAGAGACCTTCTGAAGTTTAGCCAATGAAACCTTTATGGATCACAGCCAACAATTTCCATGTTTTTCTCTGTTGACCATGATGTGATTGCGGACCCAGCAGTGAGATTCCTGCTTTCTTGATGGCGCAGTGCAGCACACACTGAACGTATGTGCTTTGAGCTTCACGCGCGCTGCATGTCCTCTTAGCTTTCAGCAAGTACAACTGTATCGTTGGCTCATGCAGAGTCTCACGGAGGCTTTCTCCAGTCCTGACGCTGCCTTTGTCCGCAAGTCGTCCCGATTCTTTGATTGGTTACTTTGCTTACAGATGAGCTCAATGTGCACCCCTCAAGCACACCTTGCCTGATTCTAAACCACGCGATAGCCCTGTGACATGTGCAAGTCAGTCAGCTCGCTAGCAGCTCTCTAGGCACCTTCAGTACTGAATATGTTTGTTGAAAAAATTCCATTTGTTTTGGCCATTTCCTGGAAACTTGCTTATCAACAGTGCCTTTAGTATGTCTTTATTTTCTCAACGAAACTGATGTGAAAGACCCAATATTCCCAATGCCTGCATCTAGTCCTCAGGCTCTAATGAGAAAAGGATATAAGGCACACACACAGAAGCCTGTGCAGTCCCTTATCTCACTGAAAGATGGAAATAAGATTGAACACGTATATGTCTACTCAAGTAGTCGCAAGTCGACTTAAGTTCAGACATTGAACATCACACACACCATTCTGCATTTCTTTTTTTCCTCCTATATTTCTTTATTTGAGTAACATGTTGATTAGGTGGAAGTTTTAATGCTCATTGATATGAGGCAATTTGTTAGAAAATAAACTAATAGCACAGTTAAACCTTTATGCTCAAAAGCATTACAATATCAACTCACAAATAACAAAGAATAAAGTGCTATCCTGAGAAATCTCCTTTTTTGTAATTTCACCAACTTAATTTTGACCATGAATGACCATAAGGTTCTGTACATGGAAGTGGTAGAACAAAAAGAATGCAAAATTAGAAGTTATATGTAATTTCTAAAGCTCAACAAAGCAACTAAAATTAAAATGGGTCTTCCCACATTCAGTATTCACTCTATATAAATAATGTTAATAAAAACAGTTAGTAGAAATCACACTACTACTACATTATACTTATGAGCTCTTCACTAATTTACTGAATGAGACCTTAAATTAACGATTGCTTAGAATTTAAGTTTCTTGAGATAGATATTTCTTTCTAAACACAGAACTGAATGTATTATTTTAAACACATTAGATTAGTGAATAATTCCTCTTGACCAATGTAAACTCCTAAAGAATAAATTCAACTACCATTTATCCCTAAATGGTACTTTAAGTTTTTCAGAGAGATTTCACTGTTTTCTACTTGATTAACGCACAATAGCACAAGCCTTGGACAAGAAACTCAATCTTTTGTGCCTTGATTAATCTATCTATAAAAAAACCCTCACAAAGTGAGAAATGTAAAAATAAAACTCAATGTTATAGTCATTTGAAAATGACCATATACTTATCAGTTTTGAGCTATTCTACTCTACAATGAGGACTAAATGCTATACTCCCTACAGAAGACCTTTCTCTCCTTTCCATGGAATACAGAGCTAACAAGTCAGACATTTGCCTTTTAAATTTTTTCTTTAAAGTTTTAGAGAAAATTCTTTCATATGGTATTTTAAAAGGCTAGTTTCCTTTCATATTGGTTATATAAGAAAGACTATACCAAACAAAGGGAAAGTCTGATACTATATACTCAGGATTAACTAATATATATATATATAAATCATTTTATTGGGGGCTCATACAACTCATCACAATCCATACATACATCAATGGTGTAAAGCACATTTGTACATTCATCGCCCTCATCATTCTCAAAACATTTACTCTCCACTTAAGCCTCTGGCATCAGGTCTTCATTTTTACCCTCCCTCCCTGCTCCCTCCTCCCTCATGAACTCTTGATAATTTATAAATTATTGTTTTGTCATATCTTACACTGTCTGACTTCTCCCTTCACCCACTTTCCTGTTGTCTGTCCCCCAGGGAGGAGGTCACATGTAAATCCTTGTAATCAGTTCCCCCTTTCCACACCACGTTCCGCCCTCCTGGTTTCGCCACTCTCAGCACTGCTCCTGAAGGGATCATCCCCCCTGGATTCCCTGCATTTCCAGTTCCTATCTGTACCAGTATACATCCTCTGGTCTAGCCAGATTTGTAAGGTGGAATTGGGATCATGATAGTGGGTGGGGAGGAAGCATTTAGGAACTAGAGGAAAGTTGGGTGTTTCATAGTTGCTACACTGCACACTGACTGGCTTGTCTCCTCCCCGAGACCTTTCCATAAGAGGATGTTTTTATACATTTGCACTATGAATGATTAGCTGTGAAAATAGGCTCAAAATGAAACTCAGTGCAAGTACTTTTAAATGAATGTTTTCTCACTCTGTTAGCACTCAGAGTTCAATCACTCCCTGACTTTTCTATTGTCTCCTAAAATTTTGTTTTTCTTTGGATTTTTAAAATGGCAGTATGATGTGAGTAGGATAGCGCATTTGGAGTTCATTCCACCAGGTCAGACTGTTAATCAAGCTTTCTATTCAGAGGTCCTAAAAAGATCCTGTAACAGTGTGTGACAAAGAAAGCCTAATTTGTGGGAGGTGATTTTGTCACCGCGACAATGCACCTGCTCCCTCAGTCATTTCAGTGAACCAATTTTCAGCAAAAACCAGCACGCCTCCCTGGCCTCATGCACCTTACTCACTTGACCTCACTCTGTGTGACTTCTTTTTGTTTCCGAAAATGAAGAGGGACATGAGAGGACAGTGATTTGATGATGTAGAAGAGGTGAAGAAAAAATGAGCGAGGTGCTGTCAGCCATCCAAACAGATGAGTTTGAAAAATGTTGCCAAAATTGAATTGCAGATTTGACAAATGTATAAAGTGTAATGGAGAGTACTTTGAAGGTGATGAGGTTGGTTTGTGAAAAAATAAATTAAATAAAACCAACAGCTTTGAAACAAAATTTCTGGGTTTTGGGGGGGTATAGCCTCAAATGACTATTTGGGGCTCATCTTGAAAATACAGGATAATCTCACCTTCACAAGATTCATAGCTTAGGTTGCATACACACACACACACACACACACACACACATAAAATATATTTAACTCTTTAGCCATGAACCAGAGGAGAGGTTGATATTCAAGCAAAACAGAAAAAATGAGCATTTAGGGACAGGTTAGCCTTGCTTAACTGGTCGGCTTTAGAACTCAGCTCCCCTAAATTATACCTCCCTTCAAATAGCTGCCCTGTCTTTTCTTTCAAAACTACACATTTAAAAGAATCTTTTGCTACATTTTTTGCCTTTATTCTACCATATGGTTCTGTGCCATAGCGCACAAGTTGGCAATGCAGGGACTTTTAGGGATGGGTCACTTGTAAAGTTAGATTCTTCAGGAAATGCATTGAGCTGAAGTCAATCCCAAAGACAAGTATAATGAGATCAAAGAACGGCCATGACTCCAGATGATAGGAGAACGAACTAATGCTTAAAATAGATGAATTTGAAGAAGATGAGCTTATCACAAGCTTGTGGTTCATTAACCTTGAAGAGAACA